CTTTAGGTCTTGTGAGATATTATTTTAGTGTTGAGTTAGAGATTACACTATTTGTTGATATTAGAGACAGAAAAGACTTACGTATGTCTCTATTATGATTTTCCACTATTGTACCAATTGTGCATTATCATTATGCAGGATTTAAACACTTTTTTTTATCATCATCGAAACACTTTCGAAAATTTTATATGCTTTATTTTATGTGGGTTTTAAATACTTAGAGTGCATATGCATTCCAAATACGGTAATTGACGCTATTGTACAAATATTTACAACACAGATTTCATCATAGGTTTTGTCAATCATCATAGGTTTCTTTATAGGTTTCATCAATCGTCGTAAGTTTTGTCAATCATTATAGGTTTCGTCAATCGCTATAGGTTTCGTCAATCATCAATTCATCAATTAGAGGTCACCTGATGAAATGGTTTCGTCAATCGTCAATGGCGAAGGTTTCATCATTCATCAGGCATCTTTACTTTATAAATAAGAAATCGTAAAAGTTCATTATCTTGTGATTTCACATTATTGGTATTATCGTCTTTAGTAAATATAAAAAAGAAAAAGTATTAATTAGTCGACCAGACCCCTTTTATATAAAATAACAACTGATAAAGCTTTGATCAATTTCGTCATTACTATCATTGTTATACTAATACCTCTACGTCAATCAATCGAAATTACCATGATTGTAATCACATGCCTACAATACATAATATAAAGACTATAGAAAAGCGTTAGTATTGAACTTAATTAATATATTTAAATATCCAAAAGATAAAAAAAAAATAAAAAAAAACATATCTAAACTCAAATATTATTTTTATAAGGCCAATCTCTACAAACACTAACCAAAACTCCTATGCCTCATTCTTAAGCACTTTTTTTTATTATATCCAAGTTTGACTAATTATAATTCTAACCTAAATTTTTAAACCACTTAATATCTAGATGCTTCCCCGTTCCTGGTTTTGCGTGACAGCGTCGCACAGCTACCTTATTTACATTATACTTGTCGTTATTGCTATTGTTGACTGAGATGCAGATTGATCAATATATATGTGATCGTTGTGGGTGTTGTGCAAGATGCAGGCAGTTTATTGTTGAGTGTTTTTGTCTGCCTTGCCATTGTCAGGTAGGTTGCTTTTTTCTTTTGAAGCATCTTTGTTCGCTGTGGTTTGTCTTTTTACAAACTAAACAAGCATAGACTCTTCCACATGCTTTTTCGTCAGCGCAGTAGCGTTTGTTCCAGTTAATACATATTTCTCACCCGTCATGCCATTCTGTGTCAGGACATGTGGCCCGGCGCATGTTGTACTTGTGTTTCTTTGCCGTAGTCACGTCAAAGTTTCTGCCCTTGACTTTGATTTCTCGGTCTAGAAGAGTTGAGTCTCGATTTGTGACTAACATTACTCTGCGATCTTCATCATAGAACATTAGGCGTGGAAACTTTGCCTAAGACATAACTTACTGATATGGTCTCTATAGGCATTAAGTTCGTGCTCTCTGTTCTCGTAAATGACAAGTACTGCATCTATGTACGACTTAAAGGCTAGTAGCCATTCTGAAATATCTGTGAATGCTGTATGTCGTGAGCGCCTCTTGATCAAGATGGTGCCACCTTCCGTTGACTGCAGTGTGGGCTCATCTTCCGCCTCCCTTATGCTTAATAACAGGTTTTTGTATGTAAAGTCCTGTAGATTTACATATGAACCAATGGCAATTGCTTTCCATAATTTGAATGAAATATTGGGTTTAAAAGGGAAGGTCTCAATCATCTTTTGGCCGTCTGACCAATTCATGACCCACCAGATTCGTATGCTTTCAGTTTTTGCTGCCTGAGTATTAGAGAACCCGTGAATATCGTGAATGCCTTTGAATTTCCCGTAATCGAAGGATGGGTATTTCCGTGATGTTGCTTTAAACAGACACAAGTCTGTAGATGGTGTAGCTGAGTGTGTGCTTAGTGGTGTCGCAGTGTCCTGGCCTTGAAGCATAACCTTGGATGCCCTCATAATGAGATCATTTAGTACAGGAGTTGGAGAATACTTACCCATGGGTTGAGCTGTCTCTTTTCCTTTGACCATTGGTGGAGTGCTGGCAGAATTTGTTGGCTTCTGTAGCTGCTGATGTGGTGTAGTATGCTCAGTTGGTGCCACGTTGCTGTGTAGTGCTGAAGTCTCGGTGTTGGCACTGGTTCGTGTTGCTTGGGCCAATATATTGTTGATGTTTGCCTGTAGTTGTTCATTCCACAGCCTCTGTTTGTCGAACTGGGAATCAATATACTGCTTAAAGGACCTGATAATTGACATGGTTGATGAGCGGATCGACTCATCAATGTATGCTTTTATTGAGGGATCGATATGAGCTTCCGGTCTTGGATTGTTCAACACTGTAGCCGATGCTGATGTGGTTGGGGCTGGTTGAAGAATTGTGCGCAGTTCCTTGTCGTTGTCACGTGAGTCTGGCTCCGTGTTGCTCATGACTTGGTTATGACAAATGGTAATATCCGAGTTGCAGATTGCCCCCCTCTTTTTTTTTTTTTTTTGTTGTTTCCTTCTTTTTTTTTTTTTTTTTTATGACTGCAGACGTAAGCTTGAATGATTGAGTGGTTTTGATTGATTGAGTGATTTGTCGTTTATTTCGAGAAATTTGTTAGCCGAAGACTATTGTGTCGAAGTGGGAAAGAGTGTCGAAACGAATTTCTTTATCGACTGTTTATATATCGATCGTGGTCGGTGGCTTGTTTAATTACGTATTTCTTGATTCATGCAATTTAATTAATTGATTACTAATTGATTTGTTCTTTGATCCCGATCCCTGCCATTTGCCCCATGATTTGAGGGCACGGGTTGTAGCACGTGGCATGTAACCCCTGGCCAGTTCTACCCTTTCTTTTCGATCCGTTGACCCTTGTCAACATGCATTTATAAAAATATTAAATAGGAAATTCTTTTTTATTTAAGTTACTTATTAGTGATATATAAATTTATTCTTTTATATTTTGTAAAATTTTACAGATTTTTAAATATATAAAAAAAAAAATTAAGTGGCATAAATTAATATAATTGATTTCTTTAGTACAACTACATTCCGCAGCTACTTAGCCAAATAATTAAGCAGTGTCAATTAGCATGTAGTTTTTGGTGCAATATTATGATTAATTTTATATGTTAATATGGAGCTTAATAATCGAATATTTAATTAATGCATAAAGCGTATGCTCTTGTATACATGTGTGCCTAAATTATTTTTGAAAAATCGTATTTTCGGCAAACATTTCGGCTTTGCTAAATTTTTTATATGAAACCCTTCGAAATAACTATATTATATGATGTATATTGATGAAAGGTATTCAAAAATTTCGGCTAGAATTTCAGCAAATATGAAATTTAATTTCGGCACTATATAAGAACAATTTCGGCTGCCTAAATGCCGTAATTACTTTTTTTATTAAGATGGGCAATTTAGGCACCCATGTATATGCTCTTGTTATACTAAGTTATAGGTGACACCCATTAATTTCAGCCTATTAGAATTAGGCAATTATGTAGATATATATGAGGTTGATATTGGAAAGATAATAATTTATATAGGTTAAACTCAATTTTTGCAAGTTTAGGATGATATTAACAGGGCTGCTATTAACGAAGTTGATATTAACGAGGGTCACCTACATAAAACTGTGAAAACTTTAATACGGAAAAGCGTGTTATATTTGGCAGAGCAATGAAGCAAGGTTTCAAATAATTTTTGGGATAATATAAGTGATTTGATATTAGTGACGATGTAACGAATGTATTTAGTTAAAGCTAGATCAATTCGATTCGGTGGTTTACATTACCTCCTTAGTAAAAAAAAATTCGGCACATACATATATGATTTTGGCCGGAGTTCATACCGGTAATGTCGGGCGGAATTAAACTGTAAGAATTGTAAATGTCCGAAAATTCCGAAAAGAAGACGAGCGAACAAAAGACAACAAGATTTATTATGTAGGAGTTGTATAATGTATTTTATATGTTTCATGAAAGTACAATGTATTATTTTGATTATATTATTGAAACAAAGACGAGGTTGTTTTTTCTTGAAGAGTCAAAATGCCTTTTTTTTTATAATAAACGTTTATTGATTATTTACACAAGAACAGCAAAACCGGAATCGCCTATAATGCTATATTTTCTAAATAGCCCTTATTGATCGAAACGTTTTTATTGTAGAATCCATTTTTGACTACTGTATTCTGCATTTTCTATGCACCAAAACGGAGTTTCCACTCTGTAAGCCCAAATTTGGCAAATACCGAGGTCACGTGGTCATGCACCGCCAAAGGTCACAATTCCGAGTTCACAATAAACAACTTTTGTATTTAAATTAGGGTAGCTGCGCGACGCGGCGGTGTCGCGCCAAAACCAGGAACGTACTACAGATTGGTTTTGAAAATTATTATATTTTTATTTTAATTATTGCTGTT